CACACCCACACCCACACCCACACCCACTCCCACTATTTATATCTTCGCTTTAATTAATTATCGAAAACGGCTGCCTCATCTCTAACAGAGTGGAGTGAAAACTGCTAAACATCATTTTGTATGGTTAAGCATCATATTGTCTTGCTGAGCCCTATGTCGTACTGCCAACCACCATGTCATACTGCAGAGTATCATGTCATACTGCTGAGCACCAAGTCGTACTGCAGAGCACTATGTTATACTGCCGAACACTATGTCATACCGCTGAGCACAACGTTTTACTGAAGGTGCATAGTGCTGAGCAGCATGAAGTTTATTGGTAATTTATAAAATTAATTAGATAAATTAAGTTTCGGTCCGAAATTCCTTTCGGACTTTTGGCCCGGGCCGAAAAATCATTGGAATTTCGGTCCGGGCCAAAAGTTCGGGACAAAAAATTCGTGGGCCGAAATTCCGGCCACCCATTTGGACTATTTATGCCAGTTTTTGAAACACTATAATCAAGTTTATCATTGAGCCTCATAGAGCACAAAATTCTCTACAAAATGATGCACTCTGAGGCTATCAAACGCATGAATCTAAGACGAGTCCAAGTAAATTTTCAGATACCAGCGTAATTTCTCAACAATTTACGCTTAGAATTAGCACTTTTGCCACAGATATAGAAAAATTGAGTACACGCGTCTTAGATTCATGTGTTTAATAGCCTCAAAGTACATCATTTTGTAGAGAATTTTGTGCTCTATGAGGCTCAATGATAAACTTGATTATAGTGTTTCAAAAACTGGCATAAATAGTCCAAATATTGAAACCAATGGACACTATGATAAAGAAAAAATTCATCATAGCCAATAGAAAAGAACTTTGATTAATACTCAAAATACCTCATTCGATGTAACTTTTTGCGCTCTTTTCAACGATGTGCTTTAGTATTAATTTTATCTTAGAAAAACTATGAAAAACCTAAGTTTTCCCTGAAAACCATACAGGTAACTCTATAGGTTTCATAATTTGGACCTTTCATGTACTTTAAGATGAAGATCATCGAAAGTAGATTAATATATTGCGTTAGACACATTCTGCTCTTTCATATGATGTCCTTAGATATAGAATAGTTACTTGTTGTGTCAAACGCGAATTCGGCAAACATGAACATAATTTATTTGTTTCTAAATTTTTTTCCGCTGGAGAAAAAAATAAAGTTTTATATGTGACACAGAGACTAGAACCTGTGAAGTCTTTGTATATGTACTTGATGACTATAGACCCTACCTAAGTATATCAATCATTAAAACTTTCTTAGTATTTGTCTTTGAACAGAATTGAAAGAAACAATCTTGTTTCTAAACGTTTTTTCCACCACTTTATATCCTTTTGATCATTTCAGACTGGTCGTCGGCACCTCATCCTGCTGGTCCTGGCTCTTATCTTTATTCTCCTTCGCTTGATCCTCGTGGTCGTACTCCTTCGCCTGATACTCGTACTCGTACTCATGCTCGTATTCCTCCGCATTATTCTCTGTCAGGTAAGTAAATTTAATTTATTTCCTGGAATTAGAAATCCATATATCATTCCTAATCTTGTCATCACATCAATCTGAACATTATTATACTTGATCTTGAAAACTTAGATCAAATTCGAAGAATCTTTTTTATTGCACATATGCAATTGCACTATGAATGAATCAAGTAATTTGCATAATAATTTTTTCTGTGTCCCTTCGGAGCATATCAAAATACAGGATACAGTAAGCCCTTTTTTAAATTAATCTTTAATTATGATCATATAGAAGAGTAATTGTATAATAAGAGCACCATTTTGTCATAATTTTTTCACGAAGCCACGTTAGCGTAAAATTAGGTTGTTGTTTCTTTTCACTAAATTTGGTGCTAACTACTAAACGACACTGAAACCAATTGTATTCTGATGTTTTTAACCGATACGACAACTGTATAACTAATAGCTCTAAGATCAGTCTCTGCGGGACTGTCATCCTACTCGGAAAAAATAAACTAACAAAAATGTAGATATTTTTCTTTTACATGTTGTGATCTGTCCTATGATTGACTGATCATCGCGTGTTATATAATTTTGTGTATCTTCGCGAATTTCATTAAACAAAAACTCTAAGCTTTGGAGTATTTGTCATTAATCTTTTTGTTCTCAAAATCAGTAATAATTGTTTTGTGTTCTTATTGAAGTTTTAATTGAAAAATGACCATAAAGCTATCTATTTAATAACAAGTAACGCTCGTCAGTATGACTCGGTTGACTCTCGATTGAATATCCTAATATCTCACGATTTCCTTTACGGTTCTCAAATTTTCGAAAGCTAGCAGCTGCTGTTTAAGAAGACTGTGTGTCAGTGCAAACATTAATATTTGCACAAAGCTGTGTGCGTCTTTGTGATATTCATGGTCATACAAATCATCTTCTTTGTTTGACACTCATCGAGTAATACTTCAGGAAATCTACATGAACCACATTATCAGAGCAACACCTGCAGCTCTCAAGAAAAAAAATGCATTCAATTCGTAAAGAGAGATTATAGAAAAGACATCCATAAAACTAACTTGAATATATAGTACGCCTCCAAAAAATTCTAATAAAAGTCCTTATGGTTAACAACAAATGAAAACATCATTTGTCTGTATTCGCTATAGAAATGTCTCTTTAGCGAAGCTTTTAGATAAAAATAAATCATATTTGGTCAAAACAATAATCGTTATATGCCACTTAAGCGTAAGTGAGGCTTATTTTGAAAATTGTCATCGGACTAAACAATTGACTGTAACTACACGAAGAAATTTAGACAATTAAGTGTACATAAACAAAGATATATAAAGACAGAAAAGCTCATAATTCTGTTCGAATCTGCTTCAAATAAACTTATGTAGACATCTAACACAACTGTTCTCATAATTCATTTGAAGATACTTGTTTGCTTTTTGCCAGTTGTCATTTCCTTCAAAATCAACTAGATCTAAATACTAGACATTTTTTCGATGAAGTTTACATGTCTGAAGCGTTTCTTCAAGCAATTTCGCGGCTAACCGCTATCATGAATAATTCTCTTTGGTTATATATTCATGCTTTATGATTTCAATTCCAATGGATTCTAGATTGTGCTAAGTTTCAAAAGTTTCAAAAGTGCTTAGAATTATAATATGAGAACACTTCATGTGAAATTCCGAAGTCTAAACTTTCTTGTGAACTATTTCTTATACTTTCAATTGTCTCTCTTAACCAACGTATGTGAGGTTTGATGGAGTTCTTTATCAAATGATTCTTGTGTATGATTTTCTGAAAAAGTTAGCCTTTCTTTAGACCATTTTGAAAATAAACCACTAACAAAACTGAAGTAGGAGCGACTTTAGTCGATTAATGACGCAACTCACGAATAGTTGCTCTTTTATTCGAAAGTACCTCAATAATGGCTAGTTATTCTCCTTTCACTATAAACAAATCCAACATCATGTTTTCACTTCTTGTTCGTATTAACTTAATTGAGTCATGATGATGCGAAACTCAGCGAGTCAAAACTTATGGCGAAAAACAAAAGCGAACAATGGAACATTCAACTAGAAAAATCACATTGCGAGCAGAGTCAACTGTTGACTATACTAAATAGAAATAGACTTGAATTCTGATCTTGGGGACACTTATTACTTAGGGTCTCAATGTCGGTAGAACCATGATTCTAAATGAGTTGATCTTATGTTGCTTCACACTCCTATTCACCATACTCATTGTGAAAAAATCCTAAATAAAATTGACATTCGTGAGATTTTCCAGCCTAAAATTCTGTGAAAAACATTTATCCGTAGGTTAGTCTTTCAGTCACTTGCAAATCGTAAGTTAATTCTATTTCGTACCACTCGATGCTCAGTATATCAAAAACTCACTGTTTCTCTCAAAAAAGTTAATCTACTTATAAACAGAAGCAGCAAACTTCTAGCGGAACACTGCATACTTTTATGTTCACATGTCGACATAGTGCTCATCAAGTTCTCTGAAACATCTTAATTTTGTTGAAACTCCTTCGTTTGGCCGATGTCATCACAATTCAATATTTTATTCGTTCATCTTCGCAATTAATAAGACATAAATATCTTTTTTACATAGACATCACACAATTTTTTACAATATTAGTATCATTATTTCGAAATTTTTCAGCTAAGCGCTTTACTATCGCCCATATATTTTCCATCGGATTTACATCCGATCTGTTAGATGGCTAATCTAATAATTTTGGTACATTTTCGTCGGTGAATTGTGTACAAATATGACTTTTATGCTTCAGATCATTATCCTGCTTGAGGTGTCGGGTTAGCATCAATATTGATTTATTTCATGCTTTCCGGTTAGTATTAAAAAATTAACTTAATGCTTTTGTATCAATGTTAAAAATAATGTTTAGTACCTAGGCATTAGTATTAATTGTGTGTTAAGATAATGCTAACACCTAAGTTTCCCAGTCACGAAGAGTCGATGCCTAATTCGAGTTATAATATAAATGAAAATTTCAAAAACATGTTCCGATGAATCAAGGCGCTAAAATAAAAAAAATCCTAAGTCAAACTGAAAAGTAGAAATTTTTTTATGAATTATAAATTATAAAAGAGAATGGAGTTTCATATAACTACGGCAGAAAAGCAGAATTTTTTTTTATAAATTATAAATTATAAATTATAAATAAAACGCGATTTTCCTATAACTAGAAGGGGAACTGGATAGAAGGCATACTACTCGGATGAAGTCTAGGTATCATATTCTCTGGAAATCGTCACTTGTAAAAGTTTTTTCACGCCAACATCATCTAGTGCAATAATTCTAGCTTGGAAGATGCGGTGTCAGCCGTAATTCCAAAAAGTCCTTTCGCGACATCCTCATCTGGTGCGATGATGTCTGAGCATATTAGATTCTGTATAAGTCATGATCCTCGTAATATCTCCTATGTCTCTGTCCTTTCTTACCTCTGCACCTCCTATATCTCGTATAACTTCATAAACAAGAAAGTAACGAGGTTTTCGGATATTCAAACAATTCTTATCGAAATTTGAATATACATAATTTTTGCTATAGTTATAGGAAAGTCCATTCTCAATTAAAATTAAAATTTTTCTTTCTGCTATAGCAGGTGCCAGTTTTTTTTTCATTTGTTTTCGCAGTGATTTTAGTTATTTGACACTTCACTTATATTATAATTTCAATTAGGCAACTTATGGGACGAAGACGAATCTGATGATGAAGAATCATCACGTAGCATGCAAATTTTTATTAAAACAATAACAGGCAAAACAGTTACAATAGGAGTATGTATAAAAATGAATTTATTTATTTGTTGATGATCTATTATTCTTGTTTTGTCAATAATAACAGGTGAAACCATCAGATACAATTGAAAATGTGAAAGCAAAAATTCAAGATAGGGAAGGTGTTCCTATAGACCAACAACGTCTGATATTTGCTGGAAAACAATTAGAAGATGGAAGAACATTATCTGATTATAATATTCGAAAAGGTAATTAATGAATACAAATATGATAATAGAGAATTTTCTCTATGTTCATTGTTGTTGTCTTTTTCTATCCAGAATCCACTTTACATTTGGTACTTCGATTACGCGGTAGTCGACGTGATGAAAGTGAATCAACTGATATAAAACAGAGAAGAACTATTAATAATATGAAAGTAACTAATAATAATGATAAAGATTACGAATCTATTAATTCAAGTCAAATGGGTGGTCTTAGTGAACATGTTGTTTATAATATCAATACATCGATTACAATTCGTTCCCATGACAGTGCTTTAGTAACTATTAATAAATGGCAAATGGATGCACAATTAGTACTTTATTATGATCCAAAAATTAATGATTTAAATGCAATAAAAGCTGTTCATTTACGAAACAGTAGTAATGTTGTATTAGCACCTGGAAGTATTGCTGTTTTGGATAATGGACGTTTTGTTGCTCTGTGTGCTTTTACACCAATGCTGCCAAATGATGATCAATTGATCAAGTATGTTTAAAGAAAATATTTTCATTATATTGTTGCTTCTTAATTTATTAATTGCTGTATCTTATAGTTATGGTCTTGATTCAACTGTATCGATTCTTCGTACAACTCCAACAGCACTTCAAGAAGTTCATACTGAAAGTGTTGATATAATTTATACTGAAACTGATAACGTTATTTCACATGTGATTCCGTCTGGCATCGATCTTCAACAAATTTATATAAAACGCACACGTTACTTAATTAAAAATAATTCTTTAGATCGACCGGTAACCAAATTTTATATTGATCATGTTACTGATCCATCATTGGGTGGATATGTTGTAAAAACACAACAGCAATGCATTAAATCAGTTATGGGTTTCAGCCGTTTTGAATTAAAACTTGAACCACAGCAAGAGATTGAATTTATTGTTGATGAACAAGCACGACATAGTAAAAAGATTTTTGAAGTACCAGCACTTGAATCATTTTTGGAGAAACAAGTTTCTGAACTTACTCAATTGAAATTAACTGATGAGAAAACAATTAATTTAATTCAACAGATTATCACATATAAATATGTTCGTCAAGTTCTTCAACATATGATTGATAGTACAATAACAGATAATGAAATTCGAACATGGACACCAAAACGTGATTTAATTCCAACATCATTATTTGATAAAGCGGTTACTATTATTGATACACAGATGATGATACGTGAACTTGAAACAAGAATAAAAACACGTGAAGCAGACATTAAATCAATATTTGAAAATCAAGAACGTACTCGAAAGAGTATAAAATCATTAGAAAAAATTGATAAAACTGATTTAATAAGACGTTATTTAAAAGATTTAAATACAGAAGAATATGAATTACAACAGACACGACTTGAAATAAAAACAATCCAAGATGAACTTAATAAAAAACAACGAGAATTAGAAGAAAAACAAGCATCACTTAAACATGAAGCAAAAGAGACTCAAACAAACCTTCACACGTAATTTTCTATTCTTGTTGTACAATTAATAACAAACTAGACATTAATATTCAATTATCAAATAAGAAATTCTCATATTAGATCGACCTTCATATGAGTGTGAATGTAAGTCTTCACTCAAATCACTTACAGTCGCACGTCATTTGAAGGTCATGAAGCTTCAAAATTATTTAGCTAAGAGACGAACTTCCTTTGCGCGTATTGTTTTTGTTTTGGTTTCTTTAGTAAGAGCAGAAGATTTTCGATTTTTTTATATACAATATTTTGACAGGAAAGCTTTCATTCTTCGTATTTAACATTGTATTTATCTTATTATTCAAGAAATAAACATTCACACGACTTAGTGAAACACTATGAAAGACATTTCGTAGTCTGAACTATTGCATCAACTCAAGGTGTGGATAGATGCCGATGCTGAGATAATCAACACTTACACTCGGACTCACAAATCCATAGCCACTCGTCAATACCGACAGTTAATCAAAAGGGTGTGGGGTGTGGGTGTGTGGGTGGGTGTGGGTGTGGGTGTGTGGGTGGGTGTGGGTGTGGGTGTGAGTGTGGGTGTGGGTGTGGGTGTGGGTGTCAGTTAACAGAATAGTGACACCCACACCCACACCCACCCACACCCACACCCACACCCACACCCACACCCCACACCCACCCACACCCTTCTTTTGCTTTGGTATTAGATATAGTCATTTTAACTTCAATACGAACTCTCAACGGTTGTAAACTGGTGATAATTATGCTTTTGTATTGTCGAGGATATGCAAGGAAACCATACAGATTTTGACGTGTCTTGTCAAAGATTTTCAATACACTTTGATCCACCGATGAACTACTAACGTTCTTTTTACTGACGAATGCTAAACTGCATTGCACAAATAGTGCCAAAGTGAAACGCGTAGATACCGTCAGCATCCATAAAATTCGAAATAGTAGTCTTTCTCGTTATCACGAAGTTATAATCTAACACCGATGATGATTTACCAGTATTCAAAGCGAATAATAGACTTTCTTCCAATAAATAATTATAAACTTCTATAAATCTTACAGGTATTTATACGTGTATCTACTCTCATTTTTTCTTTTATTGTTATTGTTCATGACTTTAGGAATGTGTATGATAAGAAGTACTAATACCTTTATCTTGCTATGATTCTAGGAATATATATGATACGAAGACATATTAATACCTTTATGTAGTTCCGTTTTTCCTTTTATTATTTTGACGTATGACATGGGTGAGTATAGCTTGATACACTTCAAATCTATTATTCGAAGAGTAAACTTTAAACTGCTCGTGAAGAAATAAGCTCACAAGGTGATATTATGGAGAGAGAGTGCAATAACAACTATACTCCTTGGGTGTGAGTGGGAAGTGGGTGTCGGTATGGAGTAAGGAAACATGCCCACCCTTACCTACACCACACACCCATACCCTCACACCCACACCCATACTCTTCTCAGGTATATATGAAAGGGTTTAGAAAATCAATATACCCTTCTAAAAGGTTAAGAAAAATTTACTATAGGCCGAAATCTACGTCTTCATCTCGATGAAATGTTGGAGCAAATCTAAACAAACAAATAAATTTATTGAATCTTAAAAATAGTTATTATTGAATAAATTGTTCGATCAACTCTAAATAAAAGAAAAAAATAATTTGTTTTAAATTTTATACTTACCTGTTGTTGAACGAATTGTTTGACGAAATCTATATAAAATGAAAAACAATTTG